AAGTGGCTCAAAAACTTGAACCCAATGCTCCAAACGCCAAACCAGTTGTTCTATGCTACGGAGGGTATATAGGGCTATCAAACTAATTTAAAACACCTCGCCACTTCTTAAGCCGATCCTCTCCTAAAAAATGTCCGAACTATGCCTCGTCGACACCCTCCGACTTAAGAAACGACTAAGTCCTTCGTTCGGATTCGCGTCACTTTCGGTTTCCAAGCTGCCCACTAAGCTAACTAGTGTCTCTCAATCCCGACCGCGAGTAATTCCCCGTCTAAGCGATACAACGTGACCTACAATGTAACATTCGGTTCCGTTTCAAATAAACGTTTCAATTTTTAAAAATTGATTTATACCTTAAATCACACACATTCACATACAAGTAAGATGCTCATGCAGTGTTTTAGCAAAAAACAGTACAATGTAACATCGAGGGTGTTACAATATATATGCGTAGTTTATGATTATTTGAATAAGTTTCGTAATATAATATGTTGGTAATTTATATGTAGATTTGAGAGGTTATTTTAGTTTTTTAATAATGACAGAAGTGATAATTTATATGTAAATTTAACAAGCTAAATAGATTAGCTATCATAATGGTAGGTGTGGGTAATTTAAATACAAATTTTATGGGTATTCTATGTTGTTTTTCATAATCAAAGAAGTGGTAAATCTTTAGAAAATAGAATAGATCAAATGATTGTTATTATCTATGGTGATTAAAGTATGTTGAATTGATGGTTAGATGATTCTAATTTTTGTGAGAATTTATAGGATTTTTTCTAGTGTGTCTCGTGAGGATTAATATGGAGGCTCCTTTGGTAACTCTAGTTAGAATATCTAGGATTTTTTGTCATAATGATTAAAGCCAAGCAGATGTATCTAATTATTGTGTGGATAATATTCATCCAATTTCTAGCATGTTTCGTTAGAATTACCACGGAGGCTTCATTGGGACCTTTAATTAGTAAGATAAGATGGGTTGGCAGATCTCGAAAGAAAGGAATTAAAGACTCTTTTAGAACAGAGTCATCGACCAATTGGCTCTTTGAAAAAAATGAAGGACGAAGCTAGAACTTAGGTACACAGGGGGCGAAGAAGCTGGCCACGAATTCTTGCCTCCCATGGCTAATATTTCAGCTATCATTGTTGTAATTAGCTTTTGATTTTGCTTCACCCCTGGAGACCTTTCTTCTCTATCAATTGAAATGGACAGTGCGTGTAATTGGACATGTAAAACCCTCGATGTGTACTATGCATTCATAAGAAAACTAATTATTAGTTGGTATAGATAAGAAACATAATCAAGTTGAAGAATTTACCATACCCTTGATGCCATGTCATTTAAAGGAATAAATGCACTGTCACTGGAAGGTCGGCCGCGCATGGAAAGCACCATTTGACCCTTAGGGACCAATTCTTGAGCCCGTGTGTTCAAGAAAATTGTGAAATCCTTCCTGAACTGTTGTCCAAAAGCCTGAACAACGAAGGGCCGCCTTGCTTGCCTGAGACCCTCGTCTTTGTCATACACAGGGATCCTGCTTTTCTTTAGATCCTCGGGTACCTGTGTATTTCATCGTGCCTATGTAAATCTCCAGAGATTTTCTTGAGTATTGCAAGTCTGGGCCTATATAGATTACCTGAGATAGCCAATTCAAGCTATGTGATGACAAAACTAGATTCATGGAATTACTGGTGAAGAGTCTTTTGTAGAACGATCCAGGTACAATAGCAGTAAAAACAGGACCAAAATCCTGTGTGCTTTACTGGAATGCAAACAACCTCTTTGCAACATTATTGAAGTCATTATCAGGAAGATCATTCAGCAGCACTGATATCTCCGGTACCATTTCCTTATGATCTGAGCAATGGTGAAAAATCGCGTCAACTGCAGTTTTAACAAAGGTCAGTGCGTTCGGGCCAGCTGAGCATCCCAAATCAGTGATCACTACGTTTCTGAGGGTGTTGGTATATTTCCACAAGCTTGTGACAGCCTCCTATATCAAAGGCTTCATCCTGTTTGCCCTGCATTCTAGGAGCGAAGTGTAGGTTTTGTTCAGATTTTTGAACATCCTAACTGTTCAGCTCTGCTAATAGAAACAAACATTTAATCATATTCATACGCCTACTTCCTTGTGGCCTATTTTGAAATGGGGAGTGCTCTGGGCTGGGTTACTAAATCCTTATGATTTGGACACACACACACACACACACACACACACACACACACACACAAAAAAAAAAAACTTTCCAGTTAGGACCTAAAGATGGTACAAAAAATGAAATTCTGGACCAAATCTTTGTGACCTTCACCACTTAATGTAAAGAACAATACTTAAAGAGAAGATACAAAGCATAGTAATGCTTCTGACTGTTGAGGCATATATGAGTTGGGAGGATACCTGAGTGGTAGAATTCCGAGCATAGCTCACTTCTCCTTCTCCCCTATTCATATGTAGAGATTGCTCAGAGGCCATGGTTCTATAGCAAATCTTGTGTTGATGCAGAAGCTACCACCAGAAGTTGCAGGTCCTAAAGATCAACAATACAAAGGCTACGATCTCATAGATTTATGTGGTTGTCTGGGACTTCAGAAAGTTCTATAACAGTTGGTATGTCAGCGTCATTATGTGAAGTGTTAGCTAAAGGCAAACGAGATGATCCAAAAAGTGAATATTATTATTTAGATTAGTTAGCTAAATGCAAGCCGGATGATCCAAGTCAGCATCACTATTTAAACTCATTGTATTGTCTTAACGCTGGGGCTAGACAGAGAGTACAAGAGTACATGACTGAGTCATCTCTGCTCTGATTGTAGAGTCACAGCATGACAAAGAGTACATGAGTAAATTGTTTGAAGATTTGGACTGGTCCAAATAATAATTTCAATAAATCCCAAAGGCCCATTCACACATTGCTACTCTAGGAGAAGTGAAGCCAACTTAAATAGTTGAGTTGTCTTCACCTAGTTAAAGCTATTGGGTAGAGAAAAAAGGAGGAAGCATGCCCTCGCTCGATTGCCGGGATAGGGCGATGGGCGTGGGCGCACGACGTGCTGGTCTTCTAATGGCAGGTCAATTACCTTAATGTTGTGATTACGCGGCTGGTTATTACTGTAGGGATCCGCCGCGTTAATTGACCTTGATCCTCGTGAGATGCCATCCACATCTCCACTACATCAAGACACAGGATCCAGCTGCGCATTAATACCGATATAGCTGCCCCAAATCAAGACCACATCTCACAAGAGGTTACAAAAATCAAACAAAATATATATTACAAATCTTGACGATTAACGACTATCTTACCAGATTATACCTACGCTAAAAATTACACTATAACTAGTAATAGGCGGTCGCATTTGCCCATGGAAGTCGCCACCATAGCTTGTACGGCTCCAGCTATTCACTCACTTTACCGACATCAAAGGGATGACATGACCGCCAATGTCATGTAGGTATCTTAATGCTGTCATTAGGGGTGACATGGCTTAAGAGCAGTGCGGTTGAGCAGAGGCGGGGAAAAGCGTGGGGAAGCGTGGGAGGGTGGGCCTAGAATCTCATACCATGATGTTGTGTCGCCGGTATGGCGGCAACAATGGTAGAGTAGGTGACGAGCTCCAAATACGAAGACCGTAGTCGCGGTTAGGATGAGATCATGAGAGCGAGATTTTGCCCCTCAGCTTCCTATTTTGATTAGAGAGGAATAGAGAATAGGCTATGCCTTCATCTGTTGATGCCGAATGGCTTACACGTAGGTCCACGGCCAGCTTCTAAAACACTCCACTAAATTCACTCTATCTTATCCCTTAAATCTCTCAAATTGATAAGGTTCTTAGCTAAGTTCTGGACTTGCCTGTTTGGGCCTGATGAGCCACTGCCTTGGTCGCTGCCTGTTTGCCGTGCCTTGTGAAGGACTTGCCCCACATGGCAACAACAGCATCAGCCAGCATCAGATCCACCTATTGTGAAGGACTTGCCCCACATGGCAACAACAGCATCAGCCAGCATCAGATCCACCTATTGTGAAGGACTTGCCCCACATGGCAACAACAGCATCAGCCAGCATCAGATCCACCTACCAATTTCCCTTGCTCCCATCAACCGATCAGCGAGAGGATCAGCAAAGTCAAACCAAATCACCCTTGCTCCTCTGTCTGATTTCGCTCGAGTTGCACGAAGACCAGCAACTTGCCCCAATAGCACCCAAACATTCAGATGGGGACTTGCCAAAATCAGCGATGAGATGGGGACTTGCCAAAGTCTGCGATCAAGCTCGTGGATCTCCCGAAACATTTGAGGAAACGGAGGGAGACCGACTTACCCCGGAAGGGAACGTTGCCAGAGTTCGCAGATCTGTAGGTGAGGGCTCACGTTCGCGGATCTTTGAATCATTTGGTATTGTACTCCTATAGATAATACTCTTTCATGTAGTCTAGAATAGGAACAGAGATGACTGTAATCTCTGTCTAGCCCAGCGTTAAGATAATACAATTAGTTTATATAGTGAAGCTGACTGGGATCATCATCTGGCTTGCATTTAGCTAACTTAAACAATGTTATCAGTTGTTTCGTTTGTCTTCTAACTACCTCAAATAATCATGCTGACTTGCGGTTTGCTAGCTACTAAAATAAATTTTCATTTGGTTCTATTAGATTAATTTTTTTTAAAGGATGGCTTTCAAAAGGACGTATTCAGTGCAGAGAGCTCCGCTCTGTGCGGGGTCTGGAGAAGGGTGTTAGTGGCAAGCCTTACCCTCGCCTGTGCAATGCGAGGAGACCGCGACTTGAACCCCGAGACCTTTCGGTCACAGACGGTAAGACTCTACCGCTTGCACCAGTCCTACCCTTCAAAGGATGGCTTCCAACTGTTAAAAAAACTTTCTGAAGTCCCAAACGATCCCATACATCTATAACATCGTAGCCTTTGTATTGTTGATCTTTAGCAGCTGCAACTTCTGGTGGTAGCCTCTGCGTCAACGCAACAATTGCAATAGTACCATGTCCTCCGGGCAATCTCTGCACATGAATAGGGGAGAGGGAGAAGCGAGCTATGCTCGGAACTCTACCACTCAGGTATCCTCCGAACTTATATGCCTCAACCGTTTGGAATTAACATGCTTTCTACCTGCTTTTTATGTGGAATTAATATGCTTTCTACCTGCTCTTTATGTATCGTTCTTGACATTTCACAAATTTGGCTTGTTGTGAAAGTGGTGAAGGTCACAGATTTGGTTCACAATTTCATTCTTTGTATCTTTAGGTGCTAACTCCTAACTGGAAAGAGGTTTTTTGCAGGATTTAGTAACCTAGAGTATACCCCCCCTTTTCTAAATAGGCCACCACGGGGACTTAGGAGTATGATTAAATTTCTGTTTCTATGCAGCAGAGTCGTACAGTTAGGTTGTTCAAAAATCTGAACAAAATCTACACTTCCCTCATAGAATGCAGGGCAAAACAGGATGAAGCATTTGATACAGGAGGCTATCACAAACTTGTGGAAAAATACAAACACCCACAAAAACATAGTCATCGCTGATTTGGGATGCTCAGCTGGACCGAATGCACTGACCCTTGTTAAAACTGCAGTTGATGCAATATTTCACCATTGCTCAGATCATAAGGAAATAGCATCGGAGATATCAGTGCTGCTGAATGATCTCCCGGATAATGACTTCAACGACGTCGCAAAGAGGTTGTATGCATTCCAGCAAAGCACACAGGATTGTGGTCCAGCTGTTACTGCTATTGTACCTGGATCATTCTACAAGAAACTCTTCACCAGTAATTCCGTGAATCTAGTTTTATCATCACATAGCTTGAATTGGCTATCTCAGGTAATCTATATAGTCCCTGACTTGCAATAATCTTCGGAGATTTACATAGGCATAATGAAATAACAGGTACCTGAGGATCTAAAGAAAAGCAGGATCCCTGTGTATGACAAAGACGAGGGTCTCAGGCAAGCAAGGCGGCCCTTCGTTGTTCAGGCTTTTAGCCAACAATTCAGAAAGGATTTCGCAATTTTCTTGAACACACGGGCTAAAGAATTAGTCCCTAATGGTCAATGGTGCTTTCCATGGTAGGCAGACCTTCCAGTGACACTGCCTACCAATCCGTTCAACCATGGGATTTTTTATTTGTGCCTTTAAATGACATGGCATCAAGGGTACGGTAAAATTCTTCCACTTGATTATGTTTCTTGGTTGGGCCAACTCATTAAATTTCATTTGAATGCATAAAACATATCCAGGGTTTTGCGTGTCCAATTACACACATTGTATTGTCGCAAGAAAACTGACACATACATTTCTGATTTAGCAGGGTGTGATCAGTAGAGACATGTTATATTCATTTTATATACCACTATTGGGCCTTCAGATAAGGAGTTAATGGAGATCATACAAGATGAAGGGTCTTTCGAGATCAACAATATTGAGGTGCATGAACAAATGAGTGGTGTAGACAAAGGCCTGCAGACCCCAAAGATCAGGGCACTCGCAGCCAGGGCTGCATTCGAGCCAACAATCATCCAGCATTTTGTACGTTCGGAAGGAGTTATGGATGAGTTCGTTGGAACCATTGAGCGCCAACTCAGCCACGTTCCAGCTTCTCCTGCAGGCAGCTTACTTTTCTTATGTGTTTCTGATGGTCCGTCAGGTGATGATAACTTTCGTTTTGGTGGAGCACAGCACATCGATCCGGTTTCAGATCCAAAGACTCAAACCCGCAGTCTTAGCACCATGACTCCTCAGGTTATCAACCGTGTCACCAAACCGGTTGACCTCACCAAGAAGGCTAATCCCTGCTTGCGAAACGAAGAACACAAGCAAGACCTCGAAAGAACGCAGCTCAAGATTTGGGACAAATTGCAGATGAATGATTAAGCACACGAGTTGGGGTTCCACAAACCGATAGACGACAACTGTCAATGACAGAATGATCTAAGCAAAACTCAAAACTTAATGAGGGCGGCGGCATATGATTATAATGTTCTTAGGGTCGTCGCCTACCCTTATGGATGAAAATGGTACGGATATTTATCCGACCGTCCGTTCGACCGAATAAATATGAACACTTAAATGGATAATTATGTGGATATTCGGAATTTTTCCCGGATACGGATACTTAAATGGATAGTTTACACGGATATCAAATACAAATATGATATCATCGGTATCCGGCGGATACGGATAATCCGAGTAAAAAAACTGATATATCCGTCCGGATAGTATCCGTTTAAGTATGTGGAGTAGCGAAGGAAGTGCAGCGCATGGGCAGATGGGGAGGCCTTGCCTGGTAGTTCCATGTTGAGCCCAAACTTATTTCATCCACATTTATTTGTTAAAAATATATTTGTGTATTATAAACTCAAAGCATAAAGTACTACAGTACGTATGTTTATGTACGTACAATAAACTAGTACAAAGCCTACCAACACATCACATCTCCGCCTCAGGCTTAATCTAGATGGATTATAGACTCATGGAGTGGTTTAATGGTTTGGGCACCTCTATGATATATAAACGTTGCTTTTACTTAATATCTGAAAAGATATTTGTATTCGACGTTCTCCGAATCCGATTCATACCGTATTCGATACTCACTATTCGTATCTATAACCGAGATAATCCGTATTCGTATATGAATCCGATAGCTATCCGTGTTCGAATCCGAATCCAAGCAGAAATATGAAAACAAATATGGTATTAACGATATCCGTTCGTATCCGATCCGTTTTCATCCCTACCTACCCTAGACGCGCCCCCCTAACGGTCTCAAAGACGATACACGGCCGATTGGACCAAATACGGTGACGCAACACCCTGACAGATTCTGGACGCTGACTTATTTTGACGATTCCCGTTGATTCTGAAGGGATTTTGACGTGTGACCACTTCCATTGGTTTTCTTATGAAATTATCTTTCCATCCATATGTGGATCGTCGAAAACGGAATCCAGACGCGTCCTGGGTGACCAGTTTATGGCAAACTAGTCCTGGAGACCGAGGCAGACTCGAATTCATGTTGGACCGGGCCTTTGGTTTGTGTTGGACGTTCTTGCTGGTCATCTTTGCCTCCATCTCTTCCTCCAAGTTCGTCATGACCTTCTCGAATGTTCCTAAGAAATATAACATCATTAGATAGTAGTCTATTCTCAAAAGTATGAAAAGGATCGCTTAAGAACGAACTCACCTCTAAATTTAGCTAGCGCATTCGAGCTCGGGTCGTTAGACCTTGCTTATTGTTTGGAGGATCAACGGGTGCATCCGAAGGAGTGATGTCCTTGTCAGTTTCCCTAACAAAAAGGGAATAGAATAATGGCACATATAGTATTCCATCGTGAATACTGACATTGCTATTAGAATCTGAACAGGTCTCAGATGTTTACAAGGATTCTGCGAGTATAACGTAAATTTGCACCATATAAAAGATAATATAAATCTCATCTAGAAAATACTAGATGATGATGAAACAGACCATAAATTCTATAAGTACTCCAAAAGACTACGAATAATTGTCCCTCTTTCACAACCATATTTAACCGTCTAGGACTCTCCACCACCCATGCTCTACTGTAGCCACTAGTGACTGGGCGAAGAGAGGTGATGAGATTCAAACATAGGGATATGCTACGTCCTTGGGAGACAGGTTCCCGATCGAAGGGCCCCTGAGCGATCCTAGAGTACGCTCGCGCATACCCTCCAGCAAAGGATCGGGCGAAACCTGAGCATGCCCTTGGCCTGGGACTCGGGGGCTAGCCTGAGCTTCATGCTCTTGATCGACGTCAGCCCGGGCCTGATCCTCAGCTCCATTCAGGTCCGAGCCAAAGGTCAGGCTAAAACCTAGCGCCCTGAGCACCCAGGGCTCGGGGGCTCATCGACACCGCCCCAGCCAACTGGCGTGTCACTTTCGCCCACTCCTCCGATAAGGTCACACGCATGGCGTGACACAAGGAGACAAATCCCTTTCGCTAGCTCTAGGGGCTTGGGGGCTCCCAGGCCCACTCGTTAGCCCCTCAAGCCGGATGCCTTCACCGCTAAGGAAGCCTCGAGAAGACTCACCCGGTGGAGGCCGGTCCAAGCCGATAACCCCTGACGGTCAGAGCGTCAGGGCAGAGCAGTCGGACGACGCCCGAGCTCTTCCGACTCCATGACAATGCCAAGGTCCATCCACGCCGCAGCAGCACCATCCTGGACTCCGGTGCACGTGGACCATAGACTCAACCCTCGAACCGCCTTGTACCCGACCTACCTCAGTTTATAAGGGGAGGTCGGATCCTACAGAGGGGGGAGGCCAAAACAGAACAGAACAGAGCCCTCCAGACCACTTCGAGCTCTGCACCGAGGTAGAGCAACCCAGAGAGGAGCGACCGAGCTCTCCTCCCCTCCGTCTTTCTTCTCCATCGCTGGGGAAGTGACCTCACCGCCGACGAGCCATAGGATAGCACCGAGCGATCTCCTTCCAAATCTATTACACACTCTTGTTGTAAACCCCTGATTTTTGGGTGCTCTCGAATACAAAGAACTACTGCTGCTGGACGTAGGGCCCCGATAGCCCAAACCAGGATACATCGCCGTGTCTTCTCTGTGTTCTTGAGTCCACCCGAGCCACTGAAGACCCACACTTAGTGACACCCGATGAACAACAATGCTTGCCGTGGTTTCTACCCCGCGACAGCTATCGCGCCAGGTAGGGGAGCGTGAATAATTCAGTTCAAAACCCTCCACGACCAAGATGTCCACGTCACTCGAAAAAGAGTAGTCGTTCATTCCCTTCCTCTTTCCCTCCTCCGTCCACGTACCCCCTCCCTTTTACTCTCCAGAAACATAATTCTTGACTTAAAAAATGATTTGCCCCCTACAATTCAGTTCAAAACCCTTCGCGACCAGCTGGCCACGTCACCCAAAAAAGAGCAGCCATTCATTCCCTCCCTCTTTCCCTCCTCCGTCCACGTACACCCTTCTACTCTCCAAAAACTTGATTTTTGACTTAAAAATGAGGCTCAATCCTTGACTTCCAAAGGGGAAAAAGCTGAGGCTTGATCCTTGACTTCCAAAGGGGGGAAAATGAGGATCGATCCTTGACTTCCAAAGGAAAAAAAGATCGACACCTTGGGCATGATTGGTAGGGTGGACAAAGATGGCTCGCATGTATGAAGAGGGCCTGGCCAAGATAAGATAGGTTGGGTTGGTGCAACAGGTCTTGTTTGGTTTGATGTGTCTGTGGAGTCAGGCTTGGGAGAGTCCAGTGTTTAATAGGTTGTACAAGAGATTATGCTTACCTTGCAAGTCTTTGGCAAAGTTACTGATTACCACTGTAGGGTCGAGATGGCGGACTAGGGGGGTGAATAGTCATTTCTAAATTTAATCGCGTCGGCTAACCGAAACAAATGCGGAATTAAAACAATCGGTCTAGCCAAGACTACACCCCTCTATCGATATTCACAAGCACCTTATAAAGATCCTAATTAGGCAACAAAGGTGTCGGGCTAGCTAGAGCTCACCTAACCAATTCTAGAAGTAAGGTCACACAAACCTATGCCACTAGTACTTCAAGCAACGAGGGAGCTCCTACACATGCTAGTATGTAAAAGCACAAAGCCACCTAAGCTCACTAGCAATGCTTAATAACAAGGCTACACAAGCCAAATTATAGAGCGCAAATTTCTTAGCTACACAAACTAAGCAATGTGACTAACAAGGTTACTCAAACCGAATTAGTCACGCAAGGGAGCTACTTATATGCTACACAAGCAAGAAGGTAACTAGCAAGCTACACAAGCTAACTAATTACAAGAGCAACTACACAAGCACAATGTAAATGAAGTAAATACAAGCTTGTGTAACGAGGATGCAAACCAACAGGAATACAAGGATGACACAATGATTTTTATCCCGAGGTTCACGTGCTTGTCAACACGCTAGTCTCCGTTGAGACAAGCTCCAAGGTTGTCGTCGATCCTCTTGCTAGCGGTGACCCGCAAGTCTAGGAGGTCCCTACATCTAGTCACTGTACCGCCTCCACGTGGCACTAGCCGTTTGAAATAGCCGTTGCCACCAACGGCTACCTCGCGTGCGCGCCT